CTCGTCCCATCCTCACTGCCTGGGCTGTGAGGTTCTAACCCTGGGCAGGTCCTTGGGTCTGACCCTGTTTCTTGCTGGCAGGAGAGCCAGAACGTAGGACCATTCTACTTTGGAGCAGAACCCTATACCGAAGATGCTTTGGGTAATTCCAGTGGGACGGGGGTGGGGGGGGGGGAGGCAGCTTGTTCCAGGGGGGCCATATCTGCTGCTAAACTGCTCTTGTCTCAGCCCAGTTCTCCGCCCACCTGTGCCCCTCCACATCTCCCCTCCAGGTTTCCCAGAAGGGAGCATAGGGCCAGGCATGGCACCAGGGGTGATGCTGTCCCGTGTGGCCCAGGTAAGACCCAGGCAAGAGCCAGGCATGAGATGCCCCTACATTGAAAGTCTGGGCCTCTGGGGCAGAGCAAGCCAACATGGCTTAGCTTTGATCTTGGTCCACCCGCAGGAGCCTGCTAGGAGAACCTATCGCTTTCTGAAGCCCATGTAAGTGTTAGACCTGCCTCTCCTACCTGTACCTCTGTCCCCAGGAGGTGGAAGAGCCCAGAGGTACAGGCATGTCCTCACCCTCCCCATCACCGCCATACTGTCTTCAGTAACTGGAGAAGAGGGGTCTGGGTAGGGATGTGGAACTCAAGTTACTTTCATACCAGCATCACTATCCCTACCCACATGACCAGTCCAGGTTCAAGGGATTGGAGGAGGCAACTCCCATGGAATGGGGAGGGGGAGAGGCTGTTTCAGAGCTGGAGGCAGACATCCCCAGCCTTGCGGTCTGAAGCTAGTTGAGCCCAGATGTGGGAGAGACAGTTTGCCTGGAAGAAGGGGCATAATGGCTGGGACCTTGAAGGATGAGCAGGAGTTTTCCAGGGGGCAAATCATTGCAGGCAGAAGGGCGCAGTATTTGGTTATGGGACAGGGAGAATACTTGGAGGGATGTGGGCAGGAGATGGGGAAGTGTAGTGTAGTGGGGAGAGAAGGCCTGAGAGAAAATCCCCGCATCTATAAGAGAAAAAATTCCCTCTAGGACCTTGATGGGTGCCCCCCTTTGGGCAAAGGGGCTCCCAGGCAGGCCAGTGACCCCTATTCATTTCAAACGGGCAGTAGTTTGCCCACGGCTGATCTAGGGCCTTGATGGGTGCCCCCCTTTGGGCAAAGGGGCTCCCGGGCAGGCCAGTGACCCCAAGGTCTCCCCTCCTAAGATGCTGGGACCCTGAGGACTTCGAAGTCACATGGAAGAGGCCAGATGCCTTGCCCTGGCAACCCAAGAAGCTGGCCATCCCACACAGAATGAAGATGATGCGGACGCTGAAGCACGGGGAGTCCGTGCTGGCCACCGCGGTGAGCAGCTTCACGCGGCACGTGTTCACCTGCAGCAGGAGTGGCGTCAAGGTGTGGAGCCTGGTCGGCCAGATGGTGGAGGACAGATTCCCCGTCAGCCACCTGCGTGTCCAGGTGAGCGTGGGGCTGGTTCCAGGGGGTGAGGCTTGTGGGAGCAGGAAGAGCTACCAGGAGCGGAGGACGCTCACCTGTGCCTCTGCCCTTCCCAGACCCCAGGGGCCTACCTGCGCACCTGCCTGCTGTTCTCCAACAGCACGACGCTGCTGACGGGTGGCCACAACCTGGCCAGCGTGAGCGTTTGGGACCTGATGGCACCCTCCCTGCACATAAGAGATGAGCTACCCGCTGCAGATCTCACTTGTCAGGCCCTGGCTGCCAACCTGGAGGACAGCCTGGCCTTCGCCAGCTTCACCGAAGGCACCATCAGGATCTGGGACTTGCGGGACCACAGTGTGGTCAGGTGTGGCCCCGGGGTGGGCGGGGTCACCCTGAGAGCCCCTTCAGGCATCGTCTGCTGAGCAGGGACTCGGCAGTCCCCAGGTTAACGCCTTTGCCTGCTTGAACTCAGATCTGAGAGGGTTGAAGACCCGGGTTCAAATCTTGACTGGGCTGGGCTGGGCTGTTTCCTCTAAGCCCAGTCCTGGTACTTTTTGTCTCTCAGTTTCCCCATCTGTCACCTGGGGATGGTTGGGTGAGTGATGTTCCTTGGGCCCAAAGCTTAGGGTCTCAGTTCCAACCCCCTTCTGCTGCCTCTCCTGGCCAGGGACCTGCCGGGCCCTCCGAATGGAGCCAAGAGCATTGTTGTCAAAGACAGTAACATCTGGACCGGGGGTCTCGATGCCTGCCTGCGGTGCTGGGACCTGAGGACCAAGGGGCCCCGGGAATACCAATTTGAGTCTCAGGTGTGCAGGCTGGGATGGGGCCTGCTTGGCCGGGTAGCAGCTGGGTCTCGGGCTAGAGGAGGAGGTGGACGCTGTGAGGTAGGGTGGGGGGGGGAGTGGTACCCCAAGTCTTGGTGATGCTGGGAAGAATAGGGGCCATTAGAAATGTTCTTTCCTGTTGCCCAAATAGCATTGGATACTTTCATAGTCTTTGTGATAATTTCATAAAGTAGAGAGGACCAGCCCATTCTACAGATGAGCAAACCAAGGCTTGGAGATGTAGAGTTGCTTGTTGGGGGCCTTGCAATCAGGAAATGGGCAGGTGGTCAGCCCCTGGGGTTGGTTCCCGTACTGTTGCCCACCTCCTGGGCCAGGCTGGGCCCTGACCAGGTTCTTTCCTGCCACCTATCCCCAGATAATAAGCCTGTCCCCCAGCCCCCAGGAGGACTGGGTTCTGGTGGGCACAGCCAATGGCCAGCAGTGGCTGCAGTCCACCCTCGGGGGCCAGAAGCACATGGTGGGCTGTAAGGACAGCACCATCCTCGGTCTCAAGTTCTCCCCTCTCGGTGAGTGGCCAGGAGTGAGTGGGGGAGTCCTCTGTGGCCCCCAGCCACCCACAGGCCGCCCCCCCACTCTGACTGGGCCCGGCCCTCTCTGACCTTCCCTGAGCCCCTTCCTCCCTCTACCCTTCCTCAGCATGAGCCTCTCACATTGCTGCTAGGGGACAGGTGGGAGGTGGGGGTTCCTCCATTTCCCAGATCCCCCAGGAGTGTTGCCCTCCGCTGCCAGCTTTGACTTGGTGCCCCTCTGCCTCCTTCCAGGCCAGTGGTGGGTGAGCGTGGGGATGGACAACCTGGTCAGCATCTACAGCATGCCCACCGGAACCATGCAGTTCCAGGTACCATGGAGGCCTGGGGGTGGGGCAGGCGGTGCTTAGGCCAGGAGTCCCAGTGCAAAGGGCCCAGAGGGACCACATTTGAACTGACAGGCACGGGTAGGGGCAAGGGTGAGTGAGCCCCCCATGCTGTGCTCCAATCCTCCCAGGTTCCCGAGAGAACTTCTGTCATGTGCTGTGACGTTTCCTCTAACAACCGCCTGATCGCCACGGGGTCCAGGGACCATGCCTCAGTGTACCAGATCATGTACTAAGGGGCTCACTACTGCCATCTCAACTCGGGGTCCTTTCCCCCCCCCCCCCAATGAGGGGGGCAGCGGTGGAGGGTCATGATGGGTGGGCTGGTGATCTTCGTCACGTGTAATAAAGCAACTGGAAAAAGCAGAGCTGCCCTGGTTCTGCGTCGCGTACCCTGGCCGTCTGGTGAGGATGTGGAAGGACTTTGTCCAGCCTGGGTCTCTGAGCCTTGGAGTCCATATTCTCTGAGATCTGATCAAAGCCACTAACCCCTAGCCCTGGGTGGTTTGGCACAGTGGATAGAGCGCTGGCCTGTGGACTGAAGGGTCCTGGGTTCGATTCCAGCCAAGGGCATTAAAAAAAAAAAAAGCCACTAACCCCCACTTGGGAGGCAGGGGGGATATGGAACACTTCCTCCTGTTCCCCTGAGCTAATCTCTCCTCATCTCACAGAGATGTTTTTCTGCCGCTTCCTGCACAATTCCAGGGATGGAGTTCTCAGTCCTTTCGAAAACACCCTGTCTGACTAGACCAGAGCTTCTCACCCTCCCAGTGCGACTCCAATAGCACCATTTGCTCACCTGTCCTTCCAGGATAAGGCGTCCACAACGGTGCCAACAGGTGTAGCTCCCTCCACCACAGAATTATCTTTCTCCATAAAGAATCTGCAGAAACTCCACCTGGGGGTGGCTTTTGTTTCCAGCAGGGACCCTGCCATCTCCCTCCGGAAGGTCCCAGCAGCATCTCTGCTCGGTCCCCCGCCCCTTCTACTCCATGATCCTTGTGGCAGCCCGAGGGAGCTTCCAGAAAACCCAGATCTGATTGTCACCAGCCCTGTCCCCCTCTGGCTCCTACTTCCGTGGCTTTCTCTGCTTAAGCTCCATCTGGAGACCTAACTCCTCTTGTAGCTGAGGAGGAACCCCCTCTTTTTTTCCCCCGCCGCCCCCCCCCCCGCCCCCCGCCCTCCTGGTTTTCACCAGGCCAAGCTCCTTCCTTACCTCTGAGTCTCTGCACATGTTGTTCCCTTTGTCTTTGGTGACCATTCCTCCCTTACCTCTTGGCTAGGCCACCTCCTCTGGGACTGGGACTTCCGCTGTGATGATGACAGTGGGCCAGGCATCGTGTGCCAGGCCCGTAGGCGTTATCTCTGGGCCTCAAAGGAAACATGATGCCACCCCAAACACCACATGCTCCACTGTAAACCCCAACTCTTTGTAAATGGGCAGTGTCTTGGGATGATTCCGTTCAAAAGGCTGGACTAAAAGTGATCACGTGAAACTCTTGGGCTAGGGATTTAAAAGCCATGTATGACCCATCTTCCTGGTATGTTGGGCCCTGAAGTTACATATCGAGGTGGTGAAACCTCCACCAGCCTGGAGCCCTGAGTGTACCTGGAGTTGAGCCCCAAATGCCACATGGACTTGCCTGAGAAATACCTATTGTGTTCAACCACTGAGACCTGGGGGCTGTTTGTTACATGGCAAGACTTAAGCCACGCTGCCCAATACAACACAGTATTTCACACATAATGAATGATCTCATCCAGATTAGGGGAAAGAAAGACACCCACACAGCTAGAAAGTGACCTTCCTTCAATAACAGCTGCCCAGTTAAAGCAACAGTGCCCAATTCCCCAGCCCAGGACTGACGGAAATTTTGACAAATACATTTATTTCCCCAAAGTCCCTCTGCCCATCTGGCCCCACACCCAGCAGGGGAAGATGTGAGGGGGTTGGCCAGAGAGCAGATGAGATCCGGTGCCCACAGGTACAACTAGAGCGGGGGGTGCTGGGGTCTCTCCTGCACCCTCTCCCCACGAGTGCAGGAAGGGGTTCCGTCAGTAGACCACCTCATACACCGTGGCTTTCTTGTCCCCTGAGCCCGTCACGATGTACTTGTTATTCCCAGAGATGTCGCAGCTCAGCACGGAGGAGGATTCCTTGGACTGTAGGAGGGAGGAGAGAAGGCAGAGGTGAGGCGTGGCTGACACTGGCACAGGCTGGTCAAGCTCCCAGCGACCTGCACATGTTCGCAGGGAAGAGGCAAGGTGACTGGGGCCACTGCCGGCCTCCAAGCATGAGCCCGTAGTCAAGGTGGGGCCAAGACAGGACTCAAGACAGGAGAGCCCAGAGTGGGAGTCAGGAACAGGGAGGCGACACAAGTTCCAGAGAAAGGGCCTTTCTGCGCAAGTGATGACGCAGGACCTGTTATTTGGACACAAGGGAGGTGGGACCGGAACACTGCCCTTTCCTGGGAAGCTCAGGGAGTGCGCACCAGGCAGACACCCAGCACAGCAGAGACCAAGCTTAGGGCACGATGACCTCCCGCAGGGCGCAGCAAACTCTCTGTTCAGGGCACAACAGTAAATTTTCAGGCTTGGCCTAAAGTCCAAATAAGTCATTAGCCATTAAATCCAGAGACTAAATAAATCAACCTCACTTGTTTTTTTTATAACCCTTTAAAAATGTAAAAACCTCCTCCCACCCACCAGGATGACTATAATACAAAAGACACAGCAGCCTTAACCAGAGCGGCTCAGTGGTTGAACACTGTCCAGGGCGCTGAAAGGTTGCTGGGTCGATTCCTGGTCAGAGCACATACCTGGGTTTCGGGTTTGATCCTCAGTCAGGGAGCGTATGGAAGGTAACCCAATCCACCTCTCTCTCTCTCTCTCTCTCTCTCTCTTTCTCTCTCTCTCTCTCTCTCTCTCTCAGTATGTCCTCAGGTGAGGGTTTAAAACAAAAAAAAGACACAATAGCAAGCCTTGCTGAGAATGGGGAGAATTTTGAACGCTCCTATGCTGCTGATAGGAATGGGAAATTTGGAAAAGTCTTGCAGTTCCATCGAAGATTAAATTATCAACAAATTCCACTCCTAGGTATATGCCCAGGAGAAATGAAAATGTGTCTGCACCAAAACATGTACATGAATGTTCACAGCAGCATGATTCACAGTCGCCAAAAGGTAGGCATAACCAAGTGTCCATCAACAGATGAATGGATGAAGTGTCCATTCACACAATGGAATATTACTCAGCCTTAAAAAGGAAGGAAATTAGACGCCTGCTACAAAGTAGATAAACCTTGAGGACATTATACTCAGTGAAAGAAGCCAGAGACAAAAGGTTAAATACTATATGACCTCACTCACAGGAGGTCCCTAAAGGAGTCAGAGTCATAGAGACAGCAGGTATAGATGGTGGTGGGGAGGGTTTGGGGGGAGGGGAGGGAGAATGGGGGAGTGGAAGAAGGTGTTAGTGTTTAATGGGCATAGAATGTCAGTTTGGGAAGATGAGAAAGTTCTGGAGGTGGATCGTGGTGATGGTGGCACAACTGTGAATATACTTAATGCCACTGGAGTGTGCACTTAAAAATGGTTAAGATGGCACACTTTGTCATATTTTACCACAATGAAAAGGGAAACAGGCTGGGCAGCAATGTAGCCCGTGGGCTGCAGCCTGCGGACCCAGTGTTAGCAGCCGTCTGCAGGTGAGACGGAGGACCCAGGAGAGC